TTTGACATTACTGCATCTTTAAACAAAACACAGCATTTCTCATTACCACAAGATGGCAGCCCCCCTGCTCAGTTAATTCAGCAAAGATATAGAATGATTTTTTAATTTTTTTTTTCTTTTAGCAGTAGAAAAAGTGTAGCCTGGGGGAATGCTTTGACAGATTGGGGTTATATGGCTAAAGCTGACCTATGCAGCTTCCTTCCCCTTCCCCCTCCTGGCAGGCAGATGAAGCATTTATGATTGCAAGTGGCTAGCTGTATTTTGTTCTTTATCTGATGGAAGGCCACCACAGTAATCAAAAAGGACTTGTTACATACTTTGCTTTTCCTGGGAGGAATGCCTGAAAGCACAGTAAAGAACCTGTAAAAATTAAAAATAAAAATTAAAAAAAAAAAAAAGAAAAATGGCCAAGTGGGAGGAAGCATTTAAGCCCAGGAAATAATAGGGAATTGCACAGTCAAATAAGCAGTTCTTGGCAGAATTTAGAGACCAGCAGCAGTAAGAAGGATGCAGTGGCATGTAAAAAAGAGTGGAAATTAACTGAAGAGAAATGGTAGCATCATATTTAGAATCTGTCACCTTATCAGAATTATCTTGACTGATTATTAGCAAAAGAGAAGGAATTGAGTTTTTAGAGGAAGAAGGGTTTCATTTCCCCTTCCTTAGCTGAGGAACCTGCTGACAGGAATTAAGACAGAATATTGCTAAATGGCAGCTTCAGCCACGCAACAAAGGGTTATTTTTAACCCCAAGCTGCTCAGTGACTGCATTTGCAGCATGGCCCTGCTTAAAAAAAAAAAACCCCAAAACTCTGCTGGCAAAACTGACACTGCTTTGTGCTGCTATGTGAGAATTGAAAGGAGAGGTCTGGGTGGGAATCCTGTAGGGCAGTGGTGCCTCTGACACCCGTGTCATGAAAATATGCCTGCAGTTAACCATTGTCCTCTGACCTCAATCCATGCTGAAACAGGGGCTTTGCATAATCCTGCAAGGAGACAGCTCCTGCTCCAAAAAAATGTTATGTTTTGAATTTCCAAAACTGACAAAGGAGACATTGTCAGCCCTTCACACATGGGAAACAGAGGCAGGGGGAGAGAGCTTTGTCTGGGGCAAGCGGGCTAATTTTGACAGAATGAGCACTTCAGGTGAAGTTTCCTGAATTCATTTGTGTATTATGACCACAAGGTTGGCCTTCCTTTCTAATGCTGGATTTTGTTCTTCTTGAAACTTGAGTTCAGGTACAGGGTTGTTGATCAAAACCATTCTTTTTGTTCTGTTCTGTTTAATAAATATGCCAGGGATCTGTGCACCTTGCCTGCAGGTCTGAGGTGAACTCTGCAAATGCCTCAGAGGTGGATTTTCAGGTGGATTTCCATGTTGGGACTGCCAGGAGCAGCAATGCAAGGAATGGTAGAGGTGTGACTTTCTTCTGCTTGTCCTTGTGCCCCTGGGGATCACAGCCCCGTGGGTGTGGAGAAGGGAGCTCCAAGAGCAGTAATGCTACTCTGCTCAGCTTCATGTGAGAGGAAAAGTCTTACTAACTCCACTGTCCTTTTGTCTTGCTCAAGCTTGTTAACTCCCGAAAAACCAGTGAGATACGACCCCACATGACCAAACTGGAGCTTTTTTATGAGGCACTATTGAGTGGAACCATCTGGCCTAGGAGAATACCACGCTTCTGAAAGGAGCCTTTAGGAATAGTAAAGTTAAATGGCTGTCTGGGACACCATGCTGAATGAAGGGCACTCGCAGCTGCATGAGGTTTAGGGGTTTATTTTATCTCTGATGACAAAACAAAAAAGTACTAGTTATGTGGTTCCTCATGAATTCCAAGCCACTGTTAATAAGTGGCATTGCCTGTGTTCTCAGCCATGCTGGAACATAGTTCTCTCAGCTTGTTGACTGCTAATGGATGATGATTTACAATTACCTAATTTTTCTCTGATCTTAAAGGCGATCCCAAATTATACTTCACGAACAGAAATTTCAGTATCTGAAGTTCCTTGAGTGAACACTTGCACTGTCATCCCACTAATACCCAAGTGGCTCACCCCTGTGGCTCCTGAGGTCTCAGTCCCTTGGAAGGTGTGCTGTTCACTTGCCTGAAGGCTGAGGGAATCTGCTCCTCACAAACCAAGACCTTTCTAGAAAGCTAAATACAGATTTGGGAGCATAACTTTCACTATGTCAATGGTGCATCTCAACTTAGGCAGTTAAAACTTCTTTTGCTGTAAAGTCTCTGTTTAGTTTTGTTTGTTTGGCTTATTGTTTGTTTGGTTTGGGTTTCTTTTTTTTTTTTTTTTTTTTTTTTTGTTGGGGCATTTTGCTTGGGTTTTTTAAAAATTTTATTTTATTTTATTTATGCCCATTGGGGCAGCCTCCTTAAGTACTTCTGGGGGCCTGGTTCCAGTTTCCAAAGATAAATCTGATTTCTGTGTAGGAGGCAACTCTTTCCTTCAAGCACTTTTCTATGTGACAGACCCAGAAAGGGGCAAATTGAATTCAAAGTAGAATTTCTAAAATTGTAACCTATTTCCTGTGCTTTCCATTCATTGAGATGAATCTTTGAGAAAGATTCCTCATGGTAAAATATTTACCAGGGTATTACATTGACAAAGGCAATAGCTCTTAGAGTGCAGTGTGAAGAAAGAAGTTCCAGTTCTTTAAACTTTTTTCAATCCACATCCTGTTCAGTGCCTCTGTTTCAGTGGACTCCAGAAGCTTTGCACGATATTTATTCATCTGATTTACTAACAGTCTCCTAAAGTTTAAACAGAGACACAGAGAGAAGATAAGCTGGACTCAGCCTTGCAGGTATCCAATTCATGCCAACTCTGCCACTTCTATTTGACTTTATGCACATCATTTAATATTTGTGGTTCTCCTGTCTGCCAAATGCAGATACCAATTCCTCTTTTTTTTCCCTATCCGCACTTGTATAGGTGGCATGTTTGGACAGGAATCAGCTCCTCCTTTGTCTGTGGTTACCTCACACATAAATGAGTCCCTGATCTTAGGAATCAGGGAGAAGCAACCTTCTAGTTGCCTCTGTAGCCACAAAATAATAAATGGCTTTGACCTGTTCAGTGAAAAATGCAACTTTTGGATTACATCAGTGAAAATAAAAATCCACTGCAGTTCACAAGTCAAAAACTGCTGATAGCATTTAGCACCACTGTCTGTCATTGAACATGTGGCATTCATCACTGCTCTCCTTTTCTTCCCAGTGCTGTATTTTATCCCGTCTATTGGAGGTTTCTTGGCTCAGTCTGTATGAATTATGGCTGCCTCTCAGTCAGGGTAGTGGAATCACTGCAGGCTGCAAAGTAAAGGAAGGAAAAAGAGGTAGGCTTTTTAAAGTCTTCAAAAGAAAATATCTGCTCCCCTTTTTCTCACTGTCCCTGTATACAGACAGTACTGGACAGTATTACTAAACAGTGAGATACTCTTACCATTGAAGAGAGATGGAATGGTTTCCAAAACGAACAAATATCTGTACCAGCCCTCATTATGAAGGCAGAAGGCAGGAGAGGAATCGGAGCTGGGGTGGACACCCCCTGCCATTGTTGGAAAGACCAAAACTGACTGCTTTGAAACAGCCCTTCAGCAGGTTTATAATGAATTAGGAAAGCAAACATTACTTAATATGAGACTTCCTGGGCAATGGCTCTGATGTATTGTTTTAAAACTAAATTGCTTTTATTGCAGAAATTTAGGTTAGTAATAGGAGGAATAATACTGAAGTTGCTAGGAAAACAGGGATCTGTTAAAATTAGCCAAAACAGAATACTTTTACTATATTTTCTTCCAAAAACTGTTCACTGCCATCTCAGTGGCCATTCCATTTGGTGTTCCTGAACAGTGTTGGCAAGGCAGAGAGCCCTAGCAGCATTCTGAAGATGCATTTCTGATGGGGACATGGATCCTCCACCACCCTTGTGTGAAACACTCCCAGCTGCATGTGTGTGTTCCTGCCAAAGCCAGGTGCTCCCATGTGTGCTCAGTGTCACAGTCCCATGCCCTGAAAGCAGGTGCCAGATTTAGGAGGTAGAGAAGGCATTTCCTCCTTCTGGAAACACAAAGACACCTCAGTCCCATGCTGCTGGCAGTTAAGGAAGAAAAGCCCATTTCCCTCTGTGTGGAAAGGGCCATTGCAGACTGCCATCTCTGTCAGTCCCAGAACTCCATGGGCTGAAGCCAGAAGGTCTCTGCTAAGAGACAGCTGTCATGTTTTCAGTTCTAGGGACAGCTTCTATTGTTGAGGACTTCATTGTACTTACAACAGCAAGAACGCTCCATGTCATTATGTGTGCTCTTCCTGGTTGTCTTGCTTTTCCCTTCTATTTAGTCTCGTGTCAAAAGTGTGTCTGAAGTTTGTTTGATTTAATACCAGTTTGACTGAAATGGGAATAAATTATTGCTGATATTGCTGGTTGTCAGCTCAGCCTTCTCTTTCTGCAAAGCATATTGCATTCCTGATTTCCTGTTGTTTTTCATTTATGTTCCTGTGGTTTTATCCTGCTACTCACTGCAGACTCCCATATTTCAGCTCAGCAGCCTCATCAACCAAGCAGTGGGTGTCCTGGTCAGCATCTGCATGGAGTGGAGGTGATAGGCCCAGCTCACAGAGAGAGGCTGCTGGGCTATCCTTCAGAGCAGGTCCTGGCTGGCACTGCAGGCACCCAGTGCTTGGCGGGAAAGTCCAGGCAGTGCCAGGAGCCACAGTTGCTCTCTGAAGTCAAGGAACAGGTTTAGTCCTGGTGATTTGTTCTGACTTTGCAGTCTGTTGCTGGCAATGGACATCCTGGTGAAGGTGCTACTACTTGGCAAGGCTAAAATGAGAAACACGGGTCTAATGTGCACAAAGGGCTTTGCATGAGATATTGCAAGATAAAAACAACCCAGAAATACAGTTGGATGGATGATGTCACGTTGATTTACTCAGGTTTTTGCTGTCTGCACTAGCAGAATATTTATTCTGTTTTCTCTTCTCCTTGTAGAAAATTTTACTACATCACTCTGCTGAGAGACCCCGTTTCTCGTTACCTCAGCGAATGGCGTCACGTCCAACGAGGAGCTACTTGGAAGACCTCCTTGCACATGTGTGATGGCAGGACACCCACTCCTGAAGAGCTGCCCTCATGCTACGAGGGCACGGACTGGTCGGGCTGCACACTGCAGGAGTTCATGGACTGCCCCTACAACTTGGCCAACAACCGCCAGGTGAGGATGTTGGCTGACTTGAGCCTGGTGGGCTGCTACAACATGTCCTTCATCCCAGAGAACAAGCGAGCGCAGATCCTGCTGGAGAGCGCCAAAAAAAACCTCAAAGACATGGCCTTTTTCGGCCTGACAGAGTTCCAGAGAAAGACTCAGTACCTGTTTGAGAGGACTTTTAACCTGAAGTTCATCCGGCCCTTCATGCAGTACAACAGCACGCGGGCGGGTGGCGTGGAGGTGGACAACAACACCATCCGCAGGATCGAGGAGCTCAACGACCTGGACATGCAGCTCTATGACTATGCAAAGGACCTCTTCCAGCAGCGCTACCAGTACAAGAGGCAGCTGGAGAGGATGGAGCAGAGGATCAGGAACCGGGAGGAGAGGCTCCTGCACCGCTCCAACGAAGCGCTTCCCAAGGAAGAGACCGAGGAGCAAGGACGTTTGCCCACTGAGGACTACATGAGCCATATTATAGAGAAGTGGTAGCCTAGGCAGACTTTTATATTAATGATATTGTGGGGTTTCCATATGAGAGATGGTAGAAGTAAAAATAACAACAACAAAAAAAAACAAAACAAAAACAAAACATATTTTATTTAAAAAAAAGTCTGTAAAACAGAAGGTAGATTGCTTCCTTGAGTATAGGGTCTTTTTACTGTTTCTTACAAGACCGATGAGATTCTTAAAAAAATCAATAAATACATAAAAATAAAAAAAGGGTCAACATTCTAACGCAGAGATAAAAAAATGCACAAATGCAGTTACCCAAGCATATGGCCAAATACAGAAGAATGTTTCTTATCCTCATGATTTTAACACAAATGGCAGAAGTAGGATTTTTTTTAAATCTGTTTATCCCCTGAGCCTCATGCTCTAAACATGCATAATTAAAAAACAAGGAAACAGAGGTTTTCTTTTGTGGGGGAGGTGGGGTGGGAATTGCACTGTTTGTCAGTAACTGATGATGGTGACTGAGTTGTGGATGGGCCATCCTGTCAGGCTGGGATCTGAGCACACAGGCAGTCACAGCATTTCAGCTGGCAGCCACTGCCAGAAAGTAGAGCACCATAAAAAGAAAAAAAGAAGAACACCAGTCGGAGGATGAGAAACATTAAAGCAAATTGACTATGGCCTGGGAAATGTACTTAGCACAGTGGTTCTGATTCATTGCACTAGTATCACATATACATACACAGGTTCATCACAAAAATAATGGGGAATTCGTACACAAAACTCCCAGATTTGTTTCCCAGACAGGTCCCAAAACAAGTTAAGAGCCACCCATAGATTCAAACCTGCACTGACATGTTATCCTGTCAGCTTACACCACTACCACTCAAGTCACTATCAGTATTGTTTGCTAACAGCACACAAAAACCCTATCCTACATACTACCAAAAAAAAAAGGAAGAAAAATGTAATAATTCCTTCATAAATCCACAAAAAATTCAGACCCTGTAAATGATATGTCACTGATGGAAATGTGACAAGGGGGTGATTTTGTTTTGTTTGTTGCTATGAGAAATACTGACCCAGAATAAGCATATAGACCTTCCCTAGCTGTATTATTTCAGTTATTTTTACTTGCTTTTATCAAGACATAATTGGCATCAGCCTGCTTCCAGTAAAGTCACTAGAACTGATTTAAGTGGGGACAGGATGGGGCTCTTTTCCAGAGCTGTGAAAATTTCTGATTATGGGTCTAAATTAATTATGAGACAGTGCACATTGTCTTTTGGCAGGGTGCCTGTTCTGCAGCCCTTACTTTAAATGAACAAGCTATGTTCATAAAACTGGAAAGGGGAATCATGGACAGTGTTTTTTTAGTCTCAGACCACTCTCAAAGCAGAACTCTTTCAATGCTGTTTTTTAGGGCCTCATGGAAGTTTAATCCTCCAGTGTGGGGACAGTCTAACCAGGTTCTGCTTACTGACTTTTGAGACAGAACAACAATGACTTCTCTAATTCCTCTTTCCACTCACCAAATTAAAATATGGCTTATTTTTTTGCTGTTGCAAGCACTTCTTTGTTTGGCTGGAAGCATGGAAATGAAGCAGTTTTTTCCTGGTTCATGTCTCACTGTTAATACTCAGCCTGTAAGACCTGAACCAGCTATTGTTTAGGGTAAACTCTGAACCAAATGGAATAGGATTTCATGTTCAAAGGCCCCATTAACTGCAAATCAATATGGCATTGAAATTACTGGAGAAGAGGCAGAGAGCTGATGAACTCAACTTTAGCATGTCATTTTTACAGCATCCCTTTCCCATCACACAGGTCCACTGTGTGCTGCTTGGTTTGGATTTTAATTCCTTCTCTGCCTCTGTGCACTGTTTCCAGCAGTTTCAAGGTCAGACTGAGTTTTGCAAAGGAAGGGCTTCTGGGGGGGATACACCTTGCTTTTGAATACATTTTTTTCCTATAGAGAAAAGACAGCTAAAAAACTTGAGAAGGAAAAACAAAATTCTGTTACAGCCCTGAGCCAAAGTCCACCAGAGTCAGAGGATGTCTTTCCCATTGATTTCAGGTGGATTTTGGTCAGGTCCTGGTCTGATCCTGCTGCTGCAGAGTGCACAAGCACACACTCAGCTGCCTGCAGGGACAGCAGGACATTGTCAGCCACACATTTGGCTGGAACCAGTAGGTGCTGGTTCTGTCCGTGTCTTTAAGGTTGTGCCAGTGCTTCTGCCACTGGCACAACCAGAATGGCTCCTGTTCCCAGAAATGTGTAACTTGGCCATAAGCATTTCCTCCTGGATGAAAATTGGGGAGCAAAATGAAACAGTATTTGGTGGTTGGCTTGGGGGAAGAGAAGGTTATTACAAATCCATTGTTCATCTCTGAATCCCAAGACTGGCAGAAGCTATGTCTGCTACTTGCCAGCACTTTTACATTTTGCTGTAACTACAGAAAACATTTGTATTTTAAAAATGCAACTTTGCAGGCTGTTTACCCACAAGACCAGCACATGAGATATAAAAAGCAACTGTTGCTGCACATGCACAGTTTCCACCTTTCGCCAAAAGCTTTTCAGGGTGTGTCCTGTGTGGTGGATCCATAAGGCACGAGGGGTTCTTGCAGCTAATCCCTGTTTGTGTCTCACTGCTGGGACTGTGTGGGATTCAGAGCAGGATTGTGATTAGGCTGTGTATGCCCGAGCTGTTCTGTGTTACAGGCTCTGAGTAACCAGCTGGATGTTAATGAATCTGTCTGCTGGGTTGTCTAAATCAGAAGCAGCCTCTGACCTTAGAAACATGTCAGTAGAAGACCTTGCTCCAACATTTATTTATATGTTTTGTAATGATTGCAGGAACAAGCAAAAGAAATGAAATTATATTGAAAACTGTCTTTGGTTAACAGTTTCATTTCAAACACAAAAGGAGGGCTGACCTCAGTACTGAGGCAGAAGTTACAAGGTTTAAATCCTGCACCCATGCAAATGCCTCAGTTTTTCCTCTACAATGGAAGTAACAAATTTAGGGACTCTAAAAGAGTACTCCAAGGTATGAAAAGTACAAGGCACTTTGAAACAGATTATGGATAATGGGAATGAACAGAATCACCCAAAAGCCTTCCCTCACCCTGGCTGCTGTGCTGGTCTGCTTCTGGCTGTTAATTGATTTTAAGTGCTGTGTACCAGAACATGGGTTGCAGGACATACCTGGCACTGTCTTCTTCCTTTAGTGGGTACAAGGGAAGGGATTTTTAACATAATGTGAATGTAGTTTTTTGTGATTTATATGTACCACACTTTGAAGTGGTACTATTTCTTTTCTTTTTAGGACTGATATTTTGATGCTACAATAACATGAAAAGTGTGTGTGTGTAGTTTTAAAATGAATGGAGAAGAACAGCTTTAAGGCACTCTGGCAGAAGTAGTGGCCAGATAGTAGATTCTTGTTCAATATCTGCCTCTTCCTTTCAAAAGGTTTTTCCTGTGACTTCCAGACACACCAAAAGCTTCTTCAGGACATGAAGTGTTTCTTCAGGGGGTCTGTCAGTGTATCATGATCCAGGTCAGGTTAGGAGAGTGCTGGGAGCAGTGCAGGCAGGTGCAAGATTGGACTTGTCCCTTAGGGACTTTGTGACTTCTTGGGGCACAGAAGTCAATTTGCTTTTAGTCACGTAAACAGTGAAAACATCAATGCTTGGTGTGTGTTCTTGCTGAAGAAAACATTTTCTTGCTGGTTTGTCTCATCGTAGTTAGCTCTGTTGAAGGAGTTTGCCTCATCCAAGGTTTTCCAGACAGATGCCACCTTGTACCCTGTCCAGGTCACAAAATGCAGGATTGACCAGTAAGGTTGCCAGCCCAGGCTGTCACAGGGTTCAAAGTCATAAACAAACAAACAAACAAAAAAAAAAAAAAAAAAAGTCAGAAAAGGGTATTTTTGGCTTGTCTAAATTTCTCCCTTTATGCCCAACATTTTGGAATAATGAGGAGCACTTCAGTTGATGTTTTTGCACCCCACAGTCCCTTACTTGCTTATAGAAAAGGGATGACAATGGAAGCAGCATAAGAAAGATCCCAATAAGGTTTTGAATCCTCTCTCCCAGGGCTGTCCTGTTAGAGCAGAAAAGAGCAGTGCAGTTCTGAGAGTGTGACCAAGCAGGAGGAGTTCCCATGGCAGTACAATTAGGAAGTTTTCCCTCTGAGCCAGTCAGATCACTTCAGAGAGTAGTGGGTAGCTCCAGAAGGTGATGATAGCATCACAGCACAGGGCCTGGCCAAGGTTCATACCTTGGGGTTAAAAGCATCTCTGATGTTTGTCTCACTGGTGTTCAGAGTTACCCAGACCCCACAGACTTCTCCAGTCATCAGAAAAAAGGAGTGGCACTCCAGGAATTCATCCCCAACCTGTGCTTGGTGCTGTATTCCTGGAGCTGTAGCTTGGCATGCAGCTGACACTATCTGCTGGACTCAAATCCCAGGGCTGGCTGTGTTCTCTTCTTATTCTCCTTTTCACTTCCACTAATGCTAGCAGCTCATGTTCCTGAGGCAGAAGTGAGCATGGGATCCACTGCCTGATCTGGAGTGTTCCAAGCCATTGTAGCACAGGTCAGGGAGCAGCGGCTCAGGTGAGCAGGGCACACAATCCCAGCTATCCATGGCTGCTTGTTTTACCCCATCCACAGGAATTTTGCCAAGGTGAATGCGGCCCTGATGAGCACATGGGTGTTAAAGCCTGTGTTGTCCCAGCTCTGTAATTCTTAGCCATGCAAGATGAAAAAAGCCAGATTTGCAAATGAGTCTGTCTCCTGAGAGCCCTACAATTCCCCCTCCCTGTTCAGTTCCCTCACGTGTCAATTCTAGAGACCGGATTGAGAGAGTTGTACTATAATGAATAATTTTATATTCAAAAGGTTTACTGAGCATGATTTGTTTTGTACATATTGGAATATGATTTAACTTATTTTTATTGCCCCTTTTAATATTTTTTTTTCCATAAGGAGAAGACAAAAATCCCCATCCTCTCTCAATGTGAAGTTCCTGGTGCTTATGTGTAGTCTGCCAGTCAAACACACAAGAGGCAGAGGATTTCTCACCATCCCTACAGCTATCTGATTTTGGTTTGCATTGTCATTTCC